ATAGGGTGTGTGATTCCATTCAGTTTAATTGTATGTTGGGGAAGAGGAAAAGCTGCTTGCCATGGTTTTAATTGCTAAGAACATACTATCTTTTCAGGAACCATCTGTTTAATTATAATTACAAGCAGTGATGTAAAAACACAAATGCTTAACAAGTACAAAACTCCCCTAACACTAACAGTTCTAACATGATGAGCCATATCATGGAAGAGTATGTTGCCTTTTCCCTCTACAATATTTCATGATTTAGCAAATGACAGCCTACCATTTATTATGGAATCTCATTCTGGTAAAGCAAAAGTTATTAATTACTATTCTTAGATTATATCCCTCTGTTACTCCTTTTTATTAAACTTTAATTCCCTCTGAGAGTGACAGGAATTATATCAGAAATGAAATACATCAGGCCCCCTTTTTTCCCTGCTAAAATCTTTGAGGTTCCATATAATACACATCACCTATAATTAATTACCAGGGACATTCCAAAGTATTGCAAGACTAATTTTTTGGCTTTCATAAACACAAACCTCTGCCTTCCTGGTTTTGAAATATGCTTACAACACTGTTATTATTTTAGGAGCCACAAGTATTGGTAATTGTTTTCAGGCATGAATAAAAATAGCTTAACCTTGAAATTTATTTTAATTAGGGATTTTTCAAAGCCACGGCTACAAACTTGGGTGGATTGTTTATAATAAAAACAAGCATCAACAACATAGTTGTACAGAACATAGAATTAGGCAAAGTTATTTAACTTGAGCTTACAATAGTGGTTTAAAGAAATAAAAACAGACACAGACGCAGTCAGATCGTAATGTTATTAGAGCAACCTCACATTCAGGACATTTTAGGTAGCCTACTAAAGCAAGAAGATGCCAAATAAAATGCAGGAGATTTATGAACTGCCAAGAAATCACAAGAGATTTCTTCCTTAGTCATTTCACACTAACTTTTCTTTAAAGTCAACCAAGTTGACTCTATGGTATTCATCGTAAGAAGATGATCACTACTTTGACAAGATCATATACTTTCTGACAAGCCTTTCAACCAAGCAAAGAACATTTTTTTTAAGTCAAGAACATTTTTTAAAAGCCCACTCTTCTTTCCTACCATCATAAGGGGTAACTATGACTCTTAAAAAAAAAATCAGAACTTAAGCACTTTAAATCCTCAAAGAAATGAAAAGACTGCACAGTTTTTCAAATGAAATCACAGTGGAGGCATCTGGTGATTTGTCAATTTCTCACTTACCCTTCTCTGCCCTAACTGAAATCCTCCCAGCCATGATTCGACAATCATTTTTGCCTATTTCAAGCCCTCATTCCCCTTGCAAGACATTTTTATATAAGAGCAACCAAATGTTAAGTGCCTCTGCAGTGTTAATGTGGGAACAGATCTTGGAAGGAATCATTTGAGAAGAGACTGCCTGCAGGAAATGGTTATTTCTTCACTTTCAATGATAGCAACCATGATCGAGTGTATTACTATCCCCTGTGCTCTGACATGTGCTCATTCTAAACCAGTAATCTTTGACCTTTGAGGTCTCAGTCCCACTAGGAATCAGATAAAAGCTCTGAACACCGTCCCCAGAAGAGATGAACATAAACATAAAATCTAAAGGTCCACATTCCCAGGGTCAAGAATCTCTACTTTACACAGATCCCAAAGTGTATCAGTTAAAACATGACTGCAGTACTCACAAGCTATGCGGGCTTCTTTCAAATTTGATGAGAGTTATCATGTTCTAAATGTTTTTGCTGCTAATGTGGAAAAACATTCTCAAAACTATTTTGAAGTTTGTGAAACTATTCCACTAATTAATAACAAATAACTTCCCCTCTACTTTGTGGTTGGTTATATGAATCATTCTCACACACAAGTCAGAGGTATTATACCCTCCCCAAAATAAAGCTAAGTTTGCTCATATACAAATAAAATAAAATGAAATAACAAAATAATAAAATGATTAAAATGAAATAATTTTAAAACAATGAAAATGAAATAAAATGTAAAACATAAATCTATCAAACTTTGAGGAGAAAACAGAGAAGAAAATCGGTGTCACCTTGGGTTAGGCAAAGAGCTTTAAACAGCATAATCCATGGAAGAAAACAGTGATAAATTGGACTTCCTCAAAATTAAAAAAAAAATTGACTTCAAAAGACAACTCAGTAAGAAGACAACCGAATAGGACAGGGGCAAATGATATGAACAGAAACTTCACCAAAGACAAAAGAGAGTAATAAGCACAGGTTGTTTAACATTATTAGCCATCAAGGAAATGAAAATCAAAAACAGACTGAGATATCATTACACAACTACAAGAATAACTAAAATTAACAGAACTGTCACCTGCTGGCAAGGTTGTAGAGCAAGCAAAACTCTCGTACTATGGTGGCAGAAGTGCAAAATGGGACAGTCACTTGGAAAACAGTTTGGCAGTTTCTTATAAAATTAAACACAAACTTACCACAGAACCTAGCAATCCCACTCTGGGTATTTATCCAAAATAGCATAACATATGTTGATACAAAGACCTGTATGTGAATGTTTACAATAACTTTATTTATTCATAATCACCAAATGCTGGAGGCAACCCCAAGTCCATCGACTGGTGGTACATCCATTAAACTGAATAGCACTCAGCAATAAGGAATGAACTACTGTTACATGTGACAGCGTGGATAAATCTCAAAATCAATGTGTTAAATAAAACAAGCCAGACAAAAAGTGCTATATATTTTATGATTCCATTTACATGATATTCTGGAAAACTCAGAAACAGAAATCAGATCATTGGTTGCCAGGGGCTGGAGGTAGGGAAAGGGGATTGACTACAACTGGGTACAAGGGAACTTTTTGAGCTAATGGAATCATTCCATATATTAATATGGTTACATGACTATATATTTTTCAAAAAACATGGAACTGTACACCTAAAAGAGGTGAATTATATAGTATATAAATTATACATCATCAACCTGACCTTAAAAAATAACTAAGAACATACTAGGAGAAAATACTAATTTAATTTATATTTCAACATAGCCTACAAAGTATCAATATCCAGGGTGTGTACAGTAATTCTACAAATCAATACAAAAAGGACAGATCATTTAAAATGGGGAAAGATAAAGACAGGCAATCTCCAGAAGACCAGTTATCAAGAGTCAACAGACATAAACCGCTCGATTTCACTGGTAATCTGGCAAATGTGAATTATAACAAAGTGATAACCATTATTTTCCCATCAGAAAGGCAAACTCTTCAAACACTGGAAATATCAAATGTTGATGCCTATGCAGAGCAAACACAATCTCTAAAACGAGACCCCAAGAGAGTTACATCAATGGGGATGATGGAATTTCAACTATATTCATACTCAGCTAAATCAAAACACAGAAAAATAATCCTTTAAAGAGATGGGTGGTTAAAAAGAAACAAACTAATAAAAATAAAATAAAGAGCTGGGTGGTTGTCTTTGCTGTTCCGGTCAGTGGGTGGGAGGATGAGGTGAGACAGTCCGGAAAATGCTAGCGTCGGCGCCATCACTGCTGGAGCCGTCTGTCAGTCCAGTGCGCACTGGGGACACCATGGAAGGTACCATGAAGGATACTAAGGATTTACCAGCCCAGTAAGCAAAGAGGGATGTCCAGGTAGCCCTTCAAACGGAGCCGGCCTCCTCAAAATTGCCAAGAAAGAAACTGAAGTATGAAATGTGGGCCACAGCAAAATTTAGAATAAAGACACAATGGACTGATAAATTTATCCTTCTACTAATTTATGGAGACATATAGGAAAAGTTTATAAATTAGAATTTTAAATATTCTCAGAATGAAAGCTTTTCAGTGGCTCAATTTCTGAATTGGATTGCTGGAGGTGATTTAAAGGGACTGTGCAGGGATATTTTTGACTGCATCCAATTTTGATCTTAGCACTGACTTCTGAACCTAATACAGTAAAATGTGACTCCACCATATAACCTCATCAAGGGCACATAGATCCTGTGGGTAACAGTATTTTTTTTCTTTCCAGCAAAACACCTACCTTAGTCCTGGACATGAAGTAGGACTTCAGTTACTTTACGGAGTAAAGAAGAGTGGGGAAGAATCATCTTGATAAAATACATAGTATTTGAAATATTACGAAACAAAAAGGACAAGACCCAGTAGAGGAAAGGAGCAAGAAACAAATCCAAGGTAAACAAGTGAGCACACACAGAGGACAATACACCTGGTATCCAGCATAGGTGGTGATTAAGAGTCTTAGCAACGACCACTCACTAGCTGTCATCATGCCACACTCTCTGAACCCAGAATGCTCCACAGTAAAGGCCGACTAATCATTAAAATCACTTCACAGGACCATGGCTACGAAGTGTAACCCTAGAGGAGAAGTACACCTGAGGGTGCATTGGTCAGTCATTGATCCTCACAGTCTTCCTGGGAAGGAAATGGGGAGGGAATGGAGGGGTGGAGGCGTGGCACCCTAGCTGGGCGAGAAAATACGGAAAATGATTGGCCCGAGGCCTCGCGGCTAAATAGAAGTTAGGAGCAAAGTGAACACCAAGGTCGGAGGTTCTGCTATTTTAACCGGAATAAGAAGGGGCCTGGGAAGGCTGAGGAGGAGCGGGGTCTGGAAAGCTTGGGGAACCCCTCAGATGAAGGGTGGGAACATGAGGAGGGGATGCCCCGGCCAGTCCCTAAGCCCCTCGCACTGTGACCCCGTGATCACCGCAAGGACCTCCAACCCCGGTACTGCGACTGCCTGCCCATTCTGTGTGCTGTTCCCCACCAAGACCCTGTGTCCAACTCACAGGCGCCGCAGCCAAGGAGCTCCGCACCAGGCTCCAAGCCGACGGCTCTCCTCCAGCGTCCGGGACGCAGCTGTTGCCATCCGTTGCCACAGCAACCACGGTGCACCGGGCAGCCGAGCAAGCCGCAGCGTGATTGGAGAAAGCAAGCGTCCTTAGCAACTGCCGCGCAGCGCTATTTGGTGGAAATGAACTTGGTTTTCAGGAATTCTTCAGACACCCTCTCTCCCTAAAGGCACCCTCCAGCAGGCACCCGTCCTAGCTCTTGAAAGGTGCTCCATGCATTATCTCATAAAACATCTGTCTCTCTTTGTTACTGTGAGGGTTCTCATTTCCACAGAAATTTTTAACTTGACGCCAATTTTATCTTCAGGTAAAATGTCCATGAACTCCTTTAAGTTTATATGTAAAAGTCTATGTCCACTTACGCAGTAGGATGGTCCATAACTATAGATTCTCAGAGGAGCCAGAACCAGAACCCCAGACAGTCCAAAAGAAGAATTTCTATTTGCATTAACATCATCTTCCTTCCCAGAGACCACCGATTATTAAAAACAGTGTGGTTCCTCCCAGACTTCATTTAGACTGTGGCCTCATTCATATCCTGCCTTGAGATATCTCCAAAAGACTTTAACTAACTCTTGACTTTCTTTCATTCATTCATTCAATAAATATCTATTGATCACTAATTATGAGTCATACAGTTGTCATAGAAGCGCCTTTCTAGCCACTGGAGTAGAGCAACTGTGAAGACAAAGTCCCTAATTTCTTAAAGAGTTTTCCTTGTGGTGTGGGAGACAACAGATGAATAAGCAAGATCGTTTCAGTTTATGATAATAAATAAAATGTTGTGATAGGACAGGAAGTGTCTAAGGTAACATGCCCCATAGACAGGGTGGTCAGAGAGGTTCACACTTGAGGAGATGGCATTTGAGCCAAGATGTGAGAAGACACTGGCTAGAGAAGAGCAAGGAAGACAGCAACACAGGCAAAAGAGACAGAAAGTTAAAAGAAATGAATTTGAATGTTAGAGAAAATGAAAGGCCAATGTAGCTGAAAAGGAGACAGCTTGTAGGACCGTGGCAAGAGACGATCAGATTGCCCTTCCCCTGGCTCTTCAAAGGCCTGGCAACTTCTTCCTCCTCCCTTACCCGCCCATCCCCGGTCACACCCTATTACATCACTGGTCTTTCCTTCACAGCCCTGGTGACTCTGTATTGTCTGTGAGCTCCCTGAGGACCCAAACATTACTCAACACAGGATCCCCAGCACCTAAAATAACTGGCCCGGCGTGGACACTAAATAAGTATTTGTTGACTACGTGAACATCCGTATCACAAAACTAGAAACTACAGTGGATCATGGGGACCAGACAAAGACACCTCTGCCTTTATGAAGCATAAATGCTTGTAGAATAAATGAATTTACAAACTATGTGGGCTAACTAAATGTATGCAGAGTTGAGTGATTTAGACTATGCTATGGAAAGCTGTTGAACAATTCCCTGGATAATTTCTTCATTCTATTATATTTCAGTTCAATTTCACAAATATCTAGTGTTTGGCCTATGGTATATAGTAATTACCAAGAAGAACACCAGTCTTACCCATAGAGCTCACGGTCTACCGCTGTGCTGTCTATTACAGTAGCCACCAGACACTTGTGACCATTGAGCACTCATTTGTGGCTGGTCCAAACTGGAATGTGGAGCAAATATATAATTTCCAGATTTCAAACACTCAGTGCAAGACAAGACTGTAAAATAGCTCCTTAATAATTTTTAATATTGAGTTCATACTGAAAAAATAATATTTTGGATATATTGGGTTAAACAAGATTATTATTAAAAATTATTTTCACTCGTTTCTTGTTTTTAATCTAATTGCTACAAAATGTTAAATTATGTATGTGGCCTGCATTATATTTCTATTAGACAGCACTGGTCTAGTGGGAGCTGAATGCTAGTTGAATAAACAAGTGATACCTTATCACAGATATTAAAACAGACATTTCAGGGGCGCCTGGGTGGCTCAGTCATTAAGCGTCTGCCTTCGGCCCAGGTCATGATCCCAGGGTCCTGGGATCGAGCCCCACATCGGGCTCCCTGCTCTGCAGGAAGCCTGCTTCTCCCTCTCCCACTCCCCCTGCTTGGGTTCCCTTTCTCACTGTGTCTCTCTCTGTCAAATAAAATCTTTAAAAAAAAAAACAAAAAAAAACAGACATTTCAGGGGGCGCCCAGCTGGCTCAGCTGAAACAACATGTGACTCTTGATCATGAGTTTGAACCCCACACTGGGTGTAGAGATCACTTAAAATAAATAAATAAGTAACTTTAAAAAAATAAAATAGACATTTCAACTGAGGAAGGGTAGATAGCAAACTTCAAATAGAGGAACTAGATAAAGAATTTACAAAGAAAATAGACAACTCTTAAGTCTTTCACACATGAGAAATAAAAGGGTCAGGAGTTGGTGATTGGGGAGGATTTCTTCAAAGAGAACTGAGCTGTGAGCCCCATCTCCTAAGCTTCAGTCAAAAAACAAAGGAGGCTTTGCAGGGACCACCAGTGAGTTTAACCTATCAGGGGGCTTACGTCTGACTCCCACCTGGAAGTTCTAAAGGGCAAGAAATGGGTGAACTAGTCAGCAGACAGCCGAGCAAAGCAAAAATTGGTTGGTTGGGGACAACCTGCCCCCCTCCCCCAGGATGTATCAAGGTAAAAAATGCATGAGGGTTTTCTATAGAGCAGGTATGGGCCGCTCAAGAAAGATGTGTAGGGTCATTTTGGATCCTTTCTAAGAGGAAAATCTGGTGGGACTGACTTTAGCAGAGGGAAGCTGAGAATATTGTCAGGTTCCTAGGGGCCAAGGAAAAGCAAAGCACCAGGCAAATGAGAGATGCGTTTGGCCGCATTAAGAGAACAGTAGGGTACAGATGCCTGGTGATGAGGATAAGCTTTCTGAAAGACTCTGGAAAGTAACCCCCAGGTAGAAGTCCTCTTAATCACAGCAGTATCAGACAAATAACAATGTTCTTACTGCCTTCTTCCTTCCTCCCTCTTCATGCTCTAATCCAAGTCAGACCAGAAAACAGTTGCCCAACTTGGGGCACAGGTGTGGAGGTTGGCGACGAGCCCAAGTAGAAGACAACAGGAAAGAAGAAGGTGACCCTGCTTTCATTCCCTGGATGGAGGGTTCTTACTTGCAGCAGCCCAAGCTTAAAAAGGAGGGAAGCCATGACTTTCAAAGTTTTGATTATCACCTTGGACAGAACATTTTAACAACTGTACTGAGACTGGATTTTGACACCTAAGAGGGTCCATAAAAGTCTTGGCATCTGACTGAGTTCAGCCACGGGCAGGGAAACAATCTGTCCCCTGGAGACATTTTAAAGAGAAACTAGAAGACAAAAATCAAGTTGCTTTATGATGCAGCCCACAAGTCATGCTTGTCTGACTTAAGGGATACAGAAGAAATAAGAGACGGGCTATAAATATAAGCAGGAACATGTGTTACTTTTGAAGTGTACGGAGCAGTAGAAGATATATAAAGTTAAGGATTAGAGTGCATGTTATCACAGGGAGAAAAACAGATTATCTAAAGACAGAGCACCTCGGAGCCAGACCTGCGACTAGCATTTAATCTCCACCCCCCAGAGGCCTTTCTGGGGCTGCTGAGAACTGCTGCTCCTTCAGGGTCCATCTGCAGCTACTGCACAGTGATGAAAGCCTGGCTTGTGCTTCGTGCCAGATGGACAGGTGGGCAGGCAACACAGGAAAAAACAAATGCAAAAAACAAAACAAAACAAAACAAAAAAACCATGCATCTAGAAATGGATATCCCACTGAAAACTAATTATGGTATTCATAAGTAGATCACATTTGGGGATCTTTATTAACTTAACGTTTATTTGCCTTCAACAGGAAGGATGAAGACTGTCTCTATTCTAGATCTGCCTCACCCCTATAGAACCTCACACTTGTATTGGATAAGAGATGAGGCCAGGGCCTGTTCTTTCTAAGGTGTGAGCAAGTAATTGGGTCAATGAGCAGTGAAGATTGAGCCTTCCTTTGACTTCAGAGTGGTTAAGTAGGCCTGTTACCCTGGAGCCTCAAGCCACCCAGCCTACCTCAGCAATTCTGGTCCGTGGGACCCATGCAGAGGAGGGCCATGGTCAAGAACTTAGGGGGCAAATACCCAGAAATCATGGATTCACCATTGTAAAGAGCTGTAGAGATCAATGTGTATAAAACTTTCAGAATAATATGTGAGCAATGGGTGCACCTGGGTGGCTCCGTCGTTAAGCATCTGCCTTCGGCTCAGGTCATGATCCCAGGGTCCTGGGATCGAGCCCCACATCGGGCTCCCTGCTCTGCAGGAAGCCTGCTTCTCCCTCTCCCACTCCCCCTGCTTGTGTTCCCTCTCTCGCTATATCTCTCTGTCAAATAAATAAAATCTTTAAAAAAAAATATGTGAGCAATGATTTTTCTTACTATTCTGACATGACTCCAGTTCTGAACTTACTCTCTGTGTGGAGTTTGCTACATAACCTCTCTGTGGTTAAGGGACCACATCTGTACAATAGGATCAGTGAGGATGAAATAAGATAATAACATAAACCAAGGGCTTAAGAAAGGAAAGCTATCATTCTTATTAACATTTTACCATCCTTCAGTCCTGGTTTTCTATCTCTTTGACATCACCTCCAGATAGTTGCTCAGTGCTAAAGACTAAATGTTTGTGTCGTTATTCAAAATTCAAAATTCACTAACCCCCAGTGTGATGGTATTAAGAAGTGGGGCTTTCGGGTGATTCGATCAGGAGGGTGGAGCCCCCATGAATGGAATTAGAGCCCTTATAAAATAGACCCCAGAGAGCTCCCTAGAGCCCGTCCACCATGTAAGGTTACAGCAAAAAGATAGCTTCTGCAAACCAGGAAGAGGGCTCTCAGCAGACACTGAACCTGCTGACACCTTGATCTTAGATTTCCCAGCTTCCAGAACCATAAGGAATAAATGTCTATTGTTTAACCCACCCAGTGTAGAGTATTTTTGTCATAGCAACCCAAACCAACTAAGATACTTAGCCTGTGTTTAAACTCCTGCTCTTCGTCTTCCCTTTACCAAGCTTTGACTGAGAACCCACTAAGCCTGAGCTTATGTAAGGCACTGAGCCTACTCAGCAAGTAAGATGCAGTCCCTGCCTTCAAGGGGCTCAGTCCTCTGTCTGCTTAGGATGCTAACTTTCCACGCTTTCCCAAACCTAAGATCAAGCATCATGACACTCGATTTTTGAACAGCAAAAATTTTTGAAAACTTCTTCCTGAAATCACACAGAATGTGACTCCTATGTCTCTTTTATGTGACAATTTTTTCCAGCTTAAAGACCATCCATCGTGGTTTTCCCAGTCCTCTATTTTTCAGATTAAACTACCGGAGTCTCTCCAACAGTTTCTCACAGGGCATGAGTTCTAGTCAGTCCCTTTGTATCCTGACCATGCTGGGCAAATCCCAGAGTGCTCTCCTTTACTAGAGCTCAAAATGAAACACAGTTCTCTCAAGTGCTCTGAGGAGTATGTAGAATGGGATTACTGTGGGGAAAAAATTTAATTCCTCACATTTTGAGACAGTTTTAAGTAAAAAAAAATAAATAAATAAAAAAACTAATCAGCCTCCTTTTGTGAGTAGCCACTGCCAAAATTTCCTGTTGATGCTTGGGTAGCATAAATCACAGCCTTAAGAAGACTGAAGGTTTGCCAAAATTGAGACCCATCACCCCACCCTTCTGCTATTTCACCTTCATCAAGGCTCTTGGCTGTAAATTAAAGAAACCCAGTCCAATTAGTTTAAGCCAGTTGGAGAATTAATTGAAGAATTCACCTAAATCATAGATCCTGAGGGCAGCTGGGCTTCCTGGGGGACAGGAACCAAGAAGTGGAAAATTAAACAGAACCAAAGCAGGGCTGGTCCCTCTGTCTGCCTATCTTTCCCTGGGCCCAAATGTCCCTACTTCTCAATAGATACCTGTGTCATTTTTCCCCTTCACCTTAGACCTGTCTCTCTCTATCCTCTACCAAATCTTACAAAACAGTCATCCCAGTGCCCCGCATACCCATCCTCTTAGTGCCCGAGCATCCCTAAGTCTCCAAGTGTGGTGGATTAAATGGTGGCTTTGAAAAAGGTATGTTCACATCCCAATACCCATACCCTGTGAATGCTATCTTATTTGGAAAAAAAGGTCTTTGCAGATGTGATTAAGGGTCTTGAGATAGGAGATTATCCCAAATTATCCAGGTGAACCTTAAACCTACCGACCCTGTAAGAGACAGAATGGGAGAAGTCATAGACACATAAAGAGGAGATAGGAATGTGACCGGAGAGGCAGAGATTGGAGTGGTATGGACAAGGAAGCCAAGGACAACCACCAGCCATCAGAA